AACCAACGCCGGTATTTGATCGATGATATTGTGATTGGCCACTACGGTGATAATTGCAGTGCTATTGCTGCTGCATACGGCGCTCTCTGCCGCTGCAATCAGGGTGGGCGGACGGTCTACATGAAGCGGTTCGTGGAGGGGTACCGCTCTGAGAAGATGTTCAGCGGAGAATTTACGATTCCTCCCTCAGTGTGCTACACAGACGGTGTCAGACTTCATGCGCCACTGAATGAAGTTTCTTTCGAGATGTCTGACGATGCCTATGCTGTGAGGGCAATGGTTGGCATGAAGACGGGTTCAAATGCTGCGCTGGGTATCCAGCTAAACGTCACTGATGGACATTGTGTTATGTTTGAGACGATAAATACCTCTACAGCTGGTGCAGAGACTGCACTGAGGAATGCTGAGGAGAGAAGGCGCATCCATGCCGTAGGTGGTGTGGTGACAGAGGATCTGCTCGATGACGAATCTGTGGTATTTGTCGATCCACAGAACCTTTGTCCACATCTGAACAAGTTTCGCCGGCACGTCATTCATCTGTCCCCGACACTGGAGCAGGAGTTCTTTGTGCTTGCGCAGTACCTTGGCAGCACGACAGGCGCCAACGCCCACGCTGTGATCCGCAGTGACGAGGGTGCTGCGATGGCGGATGTGTTGCGGCGGTCGCTTGTGACGTTTGGAGGGTCGCTGCTGTCCTCCACGCTGCTGGCTGGCGGTGACGCGCTGGAGAGCCACCTGCCTCGCGATGGCGATGTGTTCGTCGTGGGCCTTGCTGCTGCCGATGTTTCTGTGATCGAGCGTCACCTGGCGGAGCACAGCGGTGTGCGTGTGTTTGTGCTGTTCACGGATTTATCCTTGTTCTACGATGAGTTTGTTGCGGCGTTCAATGGGAGTGGGGATGCTGGGCGCCTTGTGTTCGCGACGAGCCTGCCGCACTGGGCAGACATTAATACCACGTCGGAGACGGTGCAGCTGTTCCACGCTGCTGTGGAAGAGAAGGCGAAGTGGACGCCGTTGGCGTTAAGGGCATTTGCCTCCTCGCGCCTGATGCTGACTGTTCTCTCTCATATGGATAAGGTGAGTGCAGATCTCTTCGCTGATTTCTTCTACAAGAACGTTGCCCTTGCTGCGGAGGACATGCTGTACGGTACATTTATTGACTCCTCTAAGTGCTCTGAACAACGTGAAGTAAACGCTATTGCCTGCGCTGTGAACTACGGGGCAACACGAATATCTGTGTGGTCGATGGCCCGCGTGCTGGACCCCGCAGTGCCTGAGCTGTTCCCCGCTGTGACGCCGTCGATGGAGTACACGGACCCTGATGATGGTAGGCTTGCACTGGGATTGTTGCTTGGGATCATTGTTGTCTCCATTTCCGGAGGTATATTACTGGCTGCTCTGTTTGCGTTGCTCTGCTGTGCGGTCGTCGGAATTCCCGTGACAACAGCAACGCCCCGAAGGAGTCCACAGACCCCGTGACGCTTGTGTTCACTGACATCGAGAGCAGCACTGCGCTGTGGGNATGGCCCGCGTGCTGGACCCCGCAGTGCCTGAGCTGTTCCCCGCTGTGACGCCGTCGATGGTTTACAGAGAACCCAACACTGAAGGACTATCAAAGAATGAACTCATCGGCGTCATTCTTGGCTCCATTTCCGGAGGTGTACTAATGGCTGCTCTGTTTATCGCTCTCTTGTGTTGCTGCCGTCGGAATTCCCGTGACAACTCCAACGCCCCGAAGGAGCCCACAGAGCCCGTGACGCTTGTGTTCACTGACATCGAGAGCAGCACTGCGCTGTGGGCTGCGTGCCCCGAGATCATG